CTTAACTTCTAAGCTTATCTTCTAACTTCACTTGCCTTGGAAACTAACTCTCCTTGAATTGGATTATGAATTCAAGGTGTTTGATCACATGTTATGGAGGAGTTATAGACTTTTAGAAGTACCTTGGAGTGTTGGAAACAACTAGAAAACATAGGTACAATACCAAGGAACATTCATGAGAAAGTGGGGAATAAAAGAGAAGTCTTGACGTCCTTGGCGCTCTGCAAGGCGCGGAGCGCCAGCCCTCGAATTTCAGAGGGGGCCTGCTGGCACTTTTCTAGGCGCGCCGCCCCAAGGGGGAAACTTCAGAACCCCTTTTGGGGCGCGACGCGCCACCCCCTTACCCAAAAAACTCGACTTTTCTCCCTCTTTTCTCCAACTCTAAACCTTCTAAACTTCAATGGTTTCAACCCCAAGCACTAAGGATCATAAAATCCCTCAACATACAAGAGATTCAACTCGAAAACACAACCAAATCATGCCCCAAATCAACAAGGAACTCCAACAACACAAAATCAACAACATCTACAACACAACCAACAAACCTTCAACAAGAACAACCACAAACTTTTCTCAATAATAAAACGAGTTTGGCATGTGGGGGAAAGAAGCAACCCAACACTATGAACTCACATACCAATTAGGGATCACCCCCGTCGATATCCACGACGATCCTTGACGAAAATCCTTGCTTGATCTTCTCTTTCTCCTCTTCTTCTCCTCTTCACTCTCAAACCCACCCTTACTTTCACTCTTTTAAAATGAGACAAACTGATCAAAGAATCAGTCTAACACAACAATATAACCAAAAGAATTGGTTAGGGAAAAGACCAAAATGCCCTAAAATTTTCGGACGGATTCCTGTCAACTGCCCAACTTCCAAAAGGGCATAACTCACTCATACAAACTCGGAATCGAGCAAACTTGGTGGCGTTGGAAAGATCATTCCACGAACTTTGCAACTATAACTGGAAATACACCTAAATCATCCTGAGCTAGAATTTATGATTACTCAAAGTTGGAAAAAACTCACCTTTTTCCCATACTTAGCCAAATTTCCATATTTTCAAAATTCAATCCAAAATGAAATTCAAATTCTTAAGCCTCTCCATAGCCATTTCACATTGCCGGATGTTACACTTTTGCTACCAGACTTGCTGAGAAACCAACAAAGTTATTTTGTGCATTTTGTATTGAGCTTTATGTACTATTATTAAGAGGTGAAATTGTGGAAAAGAAAAGGAAGCTGGGGGAGAGAGGAAAATTGGGATTTGATATTTTTAGTTATTATATTTCCTTTTTATTGATCTTCACCTTGAGCTTCTTTGTCCAAAAAAAAAGGTGTCATATGATCAATTACTAGATCAGGCTATTCTGGTTTGTACTGGTACAGTAGTAGGCGCAATTGATAGATTACATAAGAATATTTTGATTGTACGTAATAAAATGGATTTTTTTTCAATTCATGAACATTTATCTGAACTCAATCCTTCTTACTTATAAAGAAAATGAGAACTTATTACAATGATTGGGTACCATAGTATCTGACATTGACAAAAATCTAGTTGCAATTGAATCTTTTTTGGGAGAAGCGTGATTTTTGCTGACAATGTAAATGAAAGTGGATGTGATAATGGAAATGGATTGCATAGAGAAGGCAACTATTGAAAGAGAAACTTCAAACGCGATTTCTTGTGAATTTGAAGACCCTGTTCCCTCTCACATATTAGACGAGTCCTGGAGAAGCAATGGATGGAATATGGACTGCTTTTGGCTACTTTAACATTTCATGTGTTTCAAATGTTCCATTTTTATTATTTTATTTTTACTGAATGCAGGAATGAAGCAGATTCTGTTGACAAGATTATAAATGATAACTTCCGAAATATGCACCACACCGTTTCAGCAACTGAAAAATATCTAGTGGGAATCAAATCTCGTATGGGTGAAGTAGAATCATTACTGAAGTTTCGATCAAGTGATGTCTGTTTTATTGGAATTTGTGGGATCGGAGGCGTTGGGAAGACAACTGTTGTAGGAAAATATTTTGACAAGGTTTCTCATCAATTCCAAGGGTCTTGTTTTCTTGCGAATGTTAGGGAAGAATCAAAGAAGCATGGGCTGATGTACTTGCAAAAGACACTTCTTTCAAGACTTTTAAAAGAAAATCAATGAATATGGCAAGTTTTTATGAAGGAGCCGACATGATAAAAAGAAGGCTTTGCCACTGGAAAGTTTTAATTGTTTTTGATGATGTCGATGATGAAGACCAATTGGAATATTTAGTTGGAAATCATGACTAGTTTGGTGGTGGCAGTATAGTCATTACAACAATTAGAAACTGTTAAAGAATGACAAAAGTCCCACATCGGTGGTTAATGAGATGGGTGGACTCCTTATAAGGCTTGGGCAATCCTCCTCCCTTTGAGCTAGCTTTTGGGGTGTGAGTTAGGCCCAAGACCTAATTTAACATGGTATCAGAGCAGGTCCCCGTCTCACCCGATGTTGGGGCCCCCAAAAATCAAAATTGCCCACGCATCAGATGCTAAGCACTGGGTGTGAGGTGGGGTTTTAAAGAATGACAAAAGTCCCACATCGATGGTTAATGAGATAGGTGGACTCCTTATAAGGCTTGGGCAATCCTCCTCCCTTTGAGCTAGCTTTTGGGGTGTGAGTTAGGCCCAAGACTTATTTAACACCAAGATTTGCTACGTAGACATGACCTGTTATATTCTGTTCCTGAATTGGCTAAAGATGAGGCTATTGAAGTTTTTAGTTGGCACGCTTTTCAGAAATCGACTCCTGATAAAGAGTTTTTGAAACTCTCCAAATCTGTAGTAGATTATTCTAAAGGCTTACCTTTAGCTCTTAAGGTCCTGGGTTCTTTTCTCTACAAGCAAGGCATTACTGAGTGGAGAAGTGCATTGGATAGACTCAAAGATACTGGATATGAAAAAATTGCTAAGCAGCTCAGTTTAAGTCTAGACGGATTGAGCCATGAAGAGAAGAATATATTCCTTGATATGGCATGTTTTTTTAGAGGAAGAAAGAGAGATGATGTGATTACTATACTAAACAGTTTTGGTTTCCGATCAGAGATTGGAACAGATATCCTCATCCAAAATCACTCTTATATATTTCTGAAGGAATGGTTGAGATGCATGATTTGATTGAACAAATGGGTCAGCAAGTGGCACGCAGTGTTGATCAGGACAAGCCATGGAATCACAGTAGACTATGGCATGAACAAGATATAAAAACTGTTTTTTCTGCAAATCAGGTAAGGATGTCCTCTGCTGGAGAAAATTGATTTCCATTTTCTCTTTTGCATTGTTTCCCCTCACTGGAAGTAGACATCCAAATTTTACAACTTACTTTAGCACTAGTACATTTTTCTCAGTCTAAACTGCATCTCATAGGATAGTTTCTTAATTAAATCATGTAATATCTTGGCAACAAGTATGGCCTCTTAGCTTCAAATTTGTTCTTCCATATTACTTTGCACACAAGGATGTCTCATGTAGCCACCGATTAGGAAGATTAGTTGCATATTCTGTTTCGTAGATTACTGGATGTGCCACCTAAAGATTTCAATTAGACTAGCTTACTCAATATCCATTTAATAGAGTTCTAGTTCTAATTATGATTTTGTAGTTTTAGATTTTTATCATCTTGAACATTTATTGTCGAATAGAAAATGAGTGTATTAACTTCTATTTATTTATAGGTCTTAGTTGTCCTTATGATGGACTTCTACAACAACATACCCAGTGTAATCCCACAAGCGGAGTCCACGGAGGGTAGAGTGTAAGTAGACCTTACCCTCTACTTTGGGAGGTAGAGAGGTTGTTTCTAATAGATCCTCGACTTAAGTAAAAGAATTTCAAACCAGTTCCCAAAAAAAATGGAAGTGAAGAAGTCATGACAAAATAGTAAAGCAAGTTGCCCCCAAGGCCTAGCTCGAGTGGTAAAAGGTGGAGGATTTGTGGCTTAGGTCGCAGGTTCAAGCCCCACACCATGCAAAGCGAAGCCCGGTATTTTAGTGGAGAAGGGTAGAGGGGCAGGCCCATTATCCACCGAGTTTAGAAGGCTATGATTGGTCCAAAGGACGGGTCACAGACGAATTTCTCAGTTATCAAAAAAAAAATAGTAAAGCAAGCATGTCAAAACATTTTTAACAATGAAAAATAACTACAACAATACAATAAATGAAGTACAAGAAACATTTAATAGTAACACAGATTGAATAACAAAAAAAAAACAATAGTAGCACTATGACTACTAGTATGGAAGGATAAGTGAGATAACACTCAACTACCTAACCTACCTTCTACCCTAATCCGTGTCCTGCATAACCACCTATCTATGGTCATATCCTTGGTCAGCTAAAGTTGTGTCATGTCCCATCTAATCACCTCTCCCCAATACATCCTTGACCTTCCTCTACCTCTCCTGAAACCATTCATAACCAACCTCTCCCACTTCTGCACTGTAGCATCCGTGCATCTTCTCTTCACATGCCCGAACCATCATAACCTCGCTTCTCGCATCTTGTCCTCTATCGAGGCTACTCCTACCTTATCTCACATATCATTATTTCTAATCTTAGCTCTCCTAGTATGCCCACATATGTATCTCAACACCCTTATTTTCACAACTTTTATCTTCTGAATATGAGAGTTATTGACCGACCAACGTTTCGTTCCATACAACATAGTCGGTCTAACCACCACTCTTTAGAAATTGCCTTTAAGTTTTGGTGGCACTTTCTTATCATATAGGACTCCGGAAGCTAGCCTCCATGTCATCCACCCTGCACCAATATGATGTGTGAGATCATCGTCAATCTCCCCCTTACTTTGGATAATAAATTCAAGATAATTGAAACTTCCTTTCTTTTGGATGACCTGGGTATCAAGCCTCACTTTCACACCTGCCTCATGAGTTACGTCACTGAACATGCACTTAAGTATTTTGTGTTGGTCCTAATCAACCTGAACCCTTTTAGACTTCAAGGTTTGTCTCCGGACCTCCAACTTAGCGTTAACTCCACCGCCAATCTCGTCAATCAAAAGTATGTCATCTCTAAATAGCATACACCATGACACATCACCTTGGATTTACCACGTCAATTCATCCATGACCCAGCAAATAAAAATGGGCTGCAAAAAAATGGTTCTCTGTCAATGACACCCAATCATCTATTCCTACAAGAACTTTGTGGGTGCTCTTGAAATCAAGCAAAAATAAAGGAAAGCCCCTAAACCGTACAAACTCATTATTCTTTCTCTTCAAAAGTACTACTGGTCCTTTCCCTCCAAAGTGCCCACATGAGAGCTAGCGTAGAACATGCCATCTTCTTTTTCTCCTCCTCTTCCTAATGAAGTGATTTTATTATGTATTTATATTCAGAATAATTTGTTGTGTTTGTTTTTATTGTTGTTACGTCTTTTTTTGGTACTAGTTTATAGTAATATTTGTCTTGTTAAATAGTTTGTCACAAAGTTTTCTCCCTCTTACCGGATATTCTTTGATAAGTTCAAATTTTAGCTTTTTTGGTTGATAGGGAAAGACCTCCTAATGTAGACATATGTCAAATCGAAGCTTATATTGATTGGAGAATGGATTTCTTATCGGGTCATAATGGAAAGGAAGTGGAAATAAGAACATTTGAAGTTCTCAATTAATTTGATTGAACTTATAATGCAAAGACAGTTATAAATCTTATACTACCAGTATTATCCTAACCTCAGTACACCCTACTAATTCCAACAAAAAATGATATAGATTAAGATTTGTATATTTTGGAAAATAGGTTCTATGCTTGGAAGTATGTTCTGTTTAACAAAGTTACTTTAATTTCTTTTCCAGAGGACAGATTCAATTAAAGGCATAATGGTACCAATTGGCTCAGACCGTCATATGTGCAAGTGGAGCAAAGCTTTCAGAAACATGCCTTGTCTTAGGTTACTCATTGTCAAAGGGGAGGAGGCCCGACATCATGACCCTATTTGTGACTCTATTGAGTATCTCCCCAGTAACTTGAAATGGCTTGATTGGTCATACTACAGCTTTGTATCTTTACCAGCAGATTTTGAACCAGGAAACCTAGTTGGGCTCATTATGACTTCTAGTTCTCTTGTTGAAATCTTCAAGGAACCAAAGGTATTGTTCATCTCCTTCAAAAAAGAATCATATTTAATTTAAAGAAAACAAATGACAGTTAAAGCTGATGTTTTTATTTGTTCTCTTTCTTATGAACAGGCATTTGACAAGTTGACAATCCTCAATTTAAGTTTTTCAGGAAGTTTACTCCGAACACCCAATTTTTGTGAGACTCCAAACCTCCAGAAGATAATACTGAAAAGTTGTGTAAGTTTGGTTAAAAATCATCCATCCATTGGAAATCTCAAAAAGCTCATCTTCTTGAATCTGGAAAACTGCAAAAGTCTAAAGTCTTTACCAAGTAGTATTCAAATGGAATCTCTTGAAAGTTTCAACCTCTCAGGTTATCAGAAATTAGAAAAATTTCCAAAAATTCGGGGGAATATGGAATTGCTATCAGAGCTCCTTCTGGCACATACTGCAATTTGGGAATTGCCCTCATCAATAGGACAGTTCAGTGGTATCAGCTTGCTTGATTTGCAATCATGTGAATACCTTGTAAGTCTCCCAGCCAGTGTCTCTGAGATGAGAAAACTGAAAATTTTGATTCTGAAAGGCTGCTCAAGACTTGCAATTTTACCTGAAAATCTAGGTGATCTAAACGAGTTGGAGGAGCTCTAGGCTGGCAACACTGCCATTTGGCAACTGCCAGATTCTATTGGAAACTTAAGCAAACTCAAGATCCTATCATTAAGAAAAGGGCGGAAGGTAAAGCATCAATCTGCTCGCAGTTTGATATTACCCTGGGTGTTTCATGCTTTGAGGGACCTACTTCCTCATAATATAGAGGAATTATATGTAGAAGATTTTTTGGCAAAAGAAAGTATTGCAAAGCTACGGATGTACCCAAGGTTGAATTTGGTATCATTCACCAATTATAGTTTTGATCAACAATCTTATACAGAGGAGAGCATTGGTAGCTCAATTTCAGATGAGATTCTCAGTTTGTTTCTATCAAACAATATGGATGATGTGATCCTCCCCACTCTTAACTCTGATCATAGGGTAACTTGTTCCATTGTCTTTCCTGAACATGCAATTCCCACATGGTTTATGCATTGGAGTGTTGAGGAAAAGATCTTGTTCAAACTGCCCATTAATTGGTATAATGATAAGTTCAAGGGCTTTGATATATGTTGTGTGACTCTCATGGGAGCAGGTGTCTGCAGTCCTAATTCAAGGCTATCTGGGAGTATGACTATGCTTTCATCAATGCCAAATTGATATGCAATGATCATTTGAAAGACCTTAAAGTGATAGAGAAAGATGTAAAGTGGGCTACAGCATCTAGAACATATGGCTGGTGTGTTTGCTTCGCCTACATACCATTGTATTCTTCACTGCAGGTTGGAGACATTAACCAGTATAGCCTATTTGAGGCATCTATCAATGGGTGCATTGTGAGACAGTGGGGAGTTCATTTGATCTATCAGGATGAATGAATATCTTTGAAGCGCAGACTCAGATAGATTGCTTCAAGTACACCTACGCTGAAAAAGAGACTAAATTATGCTGGGATATAAGGGGATTACCAAGAAATAGTTTAAGGTAACTCGAAATACCTCTTCTTTGTTACTAGAGTTTCATAATTTGAATATGGTTAGATTAACAAGTTTAAAACTATAAGTTCGATTAGGAAAATATAAAAAGCAATCAGATGACTTAAATTTAAAATTAGATAAAAATGGTTGGCATCAAGCCAAGCCCAATGTCCCCAGCATAAAGTTCTTATTTTCTGGAAAAATTACATAAATTAATCTCTTTTATTTAATAATAATTACCACTTTTAAATATACTTTTATTTTATTACTATTTTTGTCAACTTTTAACAATAGTTAAACAATTCTTGAACAATTTTGTTCCTTTTATATATAATTAAAGAATTTTTCAACGTTAGCAAAAAGTGTTGTACCTGATTGGGGAACATCACTCATTCCCTCTTTCCACTTTTCTTTCTGCTCTTCTCTCTGTTTTATTTTAGGGGTTTCGCCGTTCTTTCTTCTTCAGTTTTCAACACAGAATTCTAATGGAAGAAGGTAAACAAAAATTGCCTAGAAGAAGTCCGCGGATACTTAATGATGTTGATACTTTGAATCAAAAAATTTATAGAAGGTGTCGGATGAGGGGTCAAATTTCAGCTACTACTGCTACCGACAAAGTTAAGGACGATCCCAATTTTAATTTGGGAATTTCACAAGTATCGAGTAAGCAGAACAAGGAGGAGAGAAATGCATGTTCATTGTAAAGGTAAAAAAACGAGTTAAAGAGGTGAACAATGTGAAAAAATCAAAAAAATGATGTGTTGATTTTGCATCTACATCGAAGAAAATTGCGGACAACGATGACAATTTTGAGGATTTACTTCCTCAATTTCAGTCAAAAAATTGAAAAATAAAGTTGTGTCAGAGAAGAAGCCAGTGAAGGATGCAAAAACACGGAACTGATTGCCCAAAACTGTCATTCTACCGTAGAGTAGAGATTCGGTATGTGAATTTATGTGACTTATTTTTCTTTTTAGTTAGTTCCAAAAAGAATGACACATTTTTATATTAAGTAACAATTTAATTATAAAATGTCTATTTTACCCTTAATGAAATGATTTACAGTCACACAAATTTCTATCATTCATTTTGGACCACAAGTTTTAAAAGTCTTTCTTTCTTTTTAAACTGCGTGCCGAATCAAACTACCTCACATAAAATGGAACGGATGGAATAGTATTTTGAATCTAATTCTATGTGTTTTTCTTAGTTAGTTGTTGTTTAGGAATAATTGTATATTGATTACTGTCTTGCTTTGATACGTAGTATGTGTAATTCATCTTTAATTCAACTTTAGTATGTAGTAGTACATTTTTAATTCAAGTTTAATACATATGCATGTTCATAAATTCTAGAAACATTAGGATGTTGTGTATATCGCAAGTAGGTGGTCATCTTACATCATAGTGTCATTGACCAAATCAAAATCTCTCTATCTAAAAAACAACTTGACTTGTTCAGGAATACTTGTTTTAGTCACTTTCTTGACCTTCAAAAAGTGAACACACAACTCCAAGTTATTCTTTGCTTTGTGAATAGGGAGTTAAAACACACTCCAGATGTTGTGTTTACTATTGAAATACATGACAAAAATTTGTTTTTGGTCGAATTTGGATTAGTTACTGACTTAAATTTTGTTAGTGATGGCACTCCTGTCAATGTTCCTGATTCTAAGTGTAATTTGTTGAGCAGTTATTTTTTGAAACAAATCACTAATCAAAAGAGTCATCTACGTGAGTTATTTCTAGCTAAAAATTCCATAGATGATGACTCCACTGTTTCATTGGTTGTTCTCTTCTTCATTAATGAATTTTTTTTTTCATATGAGAATAATGAACACCAAATTAACAATAGAGATTTTTACCTTGTGAAAAGTGGACAATTCAATTCATATCCGTGGGGTTTAGATGTCTACAAGGAGTTGTGTGATTCTGTGAGACACACATTTAAGTCGACCCATAAATACTATAGATTGGTTGCTGCTCTTCAAACTTGGATATTTGAGTGTAGTTCAAAAGTCGATGAAGATATAGTTATTCGGGTTTCTGATTCAAATTCAAGAATCTTGAATTGGAAGACAATTACTGGTAGTCCATGACAAAAATATATTGAGAAATGTCTCTTCATGCCTACAAAAATTAAGGTGTTTGTGCAAAGTTAATGCATTTTATGACATTGTTTAGTTCAACTCGAGTTAATATATCTACTTTTATTTTCTTTATTTGATTTTTCAGTTTGACAACATAGTGGCCGGTGAAGATGAGTTTCTAAATTTAGGCTTCCTGAACCTTGTGATTACAATGTTGAAATTTTAAAATTGAAGTCCAAAGGATCAACTCATGGTCTAGACATGTTGACTAAGGGCATCTCCAACTCAATCCTCTATTTTACTCTCCAAATATAGAGTTTTCTATTTTTTCAGACAACCAACTTCAACCCAATTCTCTATTTTACTCTCTAAAAAGAAATCTTTTTCTCTCTCCTCAATTATTATATTATTATTTCTATTTCATTCTTATTTTCTTATTTCATAATATAAATCTTTTATTTCTTTTTTCCCAAATAATTACTTTATATTATTTTTAATGTGATATAAAATTATTTTCTATTCTAAATTTTTAAATAACATAAATTGCAAGAAAATATAATATAATACATAAATTAGGGGACAAATTCAAATAAAAGTGACATATAATTACATAAACACTCAATTTTCAAAATTATTACTTTGCTCGCATAAATGCTTTATTAATGCATTACGGAGTTCAAAATGAGCATTTTTGTCCTTAATTTTTTTTTATGTCTAGCTAAAAATTGTTCAAACCAGAGATATCTATCACCATTTCTATAGTTGGAGTTGGAGCCTCTACGGCATCCTGAATTGGTGCATTGAGATCACATTCATCCTCAATTATCATGTTGTGCAGCATAATACATGTAGTCATTATATCATGCAACATTTCCTTTCTCCAAAAACGTGAGAGTCCTGCAATAATTGCAAAACGTGATTGCAAAACTCCAAATGCACGTTCAACATCTTTTCGGCACGATTCTTGTTTCATCGCGAAATATTTCTTTTGTTGGGAATGAGGATCACGAATAGTTTGAACAATTGTCGACCATTTAGGATATATACCATTAGATAAATAATAACCCATATCGTATACCATCACAAGTGTACTCACAACCACAATCACAATCACAATCGCAACAATTCTCATTATCATATCCTAATTTTTTTCCGAATAGTGCTAAATTTGAAAACGACCTACCGGATTTCTAAATTATTGTTGTGATCAATTAATTATTATGTTATGTATTGTATTTTACCTTGAATTTAAATTATTATGTATGTATTATATTG